GACAAACCATTTTTTTTTTAATTCTAGGATTTCCTTTACTATAATATGCATGTATTATACAGTAAACCCGCCTCGTGGATCACTTTTAAATTGTGAAAACCGTATTAAAATCCGTTCCGTAGTTGGAAAGGTCTACTACTTCATTTTATAATATATAAAGTCAACGCAGAAATTACATAGACAGAAAAGGATCGATAAATACGCTATTTATTTAATTGACATAGCTCTTAATAGATTAGGGGATTTTTATACCCTAAAATGATAAAGATTAGTATAAACGAAGACGTAAGGTATAACATTGTATCCGTAAAATATTTTTTTGTGAAATCCAGCGACGCACTAAAATTCTCGAGCAACGGGAGATGTCTTAAACAAAATACTTTTGGATTAACACAACTCTCTCACGTATTTTTATATAGATATACCTTTAATCTAATTGAAGGAGTAGTACTAATGATATACAGGGTTATTGGTAAATTTTTAACTGGGTTTTCTAAGAAAAACATAAATTCAATTATTACGAAACCTATCAACTTTTGGATACTACATTTTGGGGTTAAAATCTCTTAAAAGGATCAGGTCAAATTACCAATAACCCTGTATATATTCAGGATTGTCACATTTAAGGCAGAGATATTTATGTAAAGCAAATAAAAGTTGCCAACTTTGAGATTGCAATCTAGGAACTCGTAGGTTTCCTGCGCAAACATTTTGTCTGGCCATACCGATTTATTTGAAAATGAAGTTAATATAAAATAAATATATTGCCCGCAGTTTCGGTTCCGTTAAAGGTAATTTTTTAGCACTGAGGAATGGTGCTTAGTTTAAAGATGAAAGGTATTCTATGTCCTTTTTTCATCTCTTAAAGCGAGTATGGAATACTTCATGGTGATTAGTTGAGTAGATGAAGCGTATATGTGTCCCAAAGATAAATGTGAGAAAAGTGCGAAATAGTGCAAATAAATGTGCGTTCAACTTTTTAATATTAGTTAGAAAATAATAATTTATGCCTCGATCAATATAATATCTATATAATATATCGCTTCTTCATCGCACATATTGGTACTTTGCAAGATGTTAAAGCCTTACAAGTTGAATGGAAGGTTCTATTTTCAAGAGGCTCCATCTATGCCTACACTTAATAACTACTACACCTTCTTGGCAATGATCAGGTTTAGGTACATCATCTCCTAATAAACATTGAATTCTTTACTATGTTTTATAATCTAATTTAATCTAATATAGTTACATTTGTTGTGAAATTCAATATCTAGATGCCTTCGTTTTCCATCGCGGATGTTTCGTGATAACTTAATTAATGAAAATGTTAAGTAAACTAGACATAGTTCACAGGTATGGATATAGATGGCAGCACAATAAGTCGGTAAAGCAGATTAAGGCTTTTACGCTTATCTTTACGTTGATTTACGGGTGTATGTTGATGATCACAAAACTATTTGTCTTTGTTCATATTTCAGGATCAATTTCAGGACAATTGCTTTGAGATGTGAACAACTTGGTATGGAAAATTAGTTGCAGAGAGGTTGTATAAAACATGGCGGCAGTTAGTGTCGGTGCAGCAGGGTGGCCGTACCGGCGGGTGGCGGGCCGTCGTCGGGCGACACGCAAGCGCAACAGGTAGGTTAAGATTCACGGTCTGTCGCATTTGCTGGTCCTATGCGCACGACGCGGCCCACGCATACAACCACTCGAACCGCGACCAACGAAATGTACGGTGACCATCGGTGATCGTGTGAAGTGATCATATTGTAGTGATAGTTCAACAACTAGTGCTTGTGCCTGTGATATGACGAAGACCAGCTTCAGAATTTGACCGAGCACCACTTAGCAGCGGATCTTAACGGTAAATTTCATCAAACGTGACAATATGACCTGGGTGTTTACTAGTCAGGTGACGGTGTAACGATATTTATTTAAATTGATATTATATTAATGGGCGGTATTATTTCAAGTGGAGTGCATGCGCCTGCGCATTGTTCTACATTTGAAATCTGGATTTCTTCCACGTAGCCCGTAGCGGTGTTTACACGTGAATTATGACACCTGTATCGGATGAGTTCGCGTTTACCGATGTTAAGTACGTTCTATAGATTTTAAAACTTACACACTATTTCTCTAAAGAAAATCTTAACGATAAAGATGACGAAGAAAGTATTATCAACAAATTAGTAGGTCAAAATTTTAATCGATTCGATCGCATGAGATTCTTATTAGATTATTGTAGACAACTATTAAATACGCAATCACGCTAATTAACAATCTATACGTATCTTCTTCTTTACGATTTTAAAATCCATGTTCATTGCTAGCCGAGTGCACTTGTAGATGACTATTGAAATTTCACAACAGTAATGCATCCGTTATACAGCTAACTTGTATATTTAGAAGATTTCCACCTCAAAATGAGCCGTAGAACCGTTATATTCACTTCGTAAGAGCCTGCATTTATAACGAGTGAATATTTTTATTCTGTTTTCGTGACTGACTCATAAACTACACTGATCTAATATAAAATCTGTTTAGATTATCTTGGAATATATCTTCTCTTGTAAAGGAGGCGAAGGCTCTTTAACAAAAGCGTACGTAATTTGCGAATGGTTAATAGGTATTTTTGAGATATTCAGGTACAGTCGAATGCGGTAAAGCAGGTTTGCTAAATAGAGGGAAATCTGTTAAATAAGTAAATGATAAAATATCCGATGATCGTTGATTGATTAATAAATTAAGCTATTGATGTGTTGTTTAATTTTGTTAAAAATTAAATTCAATCAAACAATTCTTTGGTGAAAATCCTTCTCTAAATCTAGTTTTTGCCAAATTATCTGAATAAAAAGGCGAGGAGAATTATGCCGTCACCAGAAATATGTTTATTGTTAAGAAAACGAATTTAACTACTTATCAATGTAAAAAAAACTCTTTCATTGTATGATACTAACATTTCAACTGTAGACTAATCCCAAATGGCGTCATAAAGATCTTTACTTGACAATCAAGTAACTTCTGACCTTCAGCAATACTGTTATGGGTTGCTAATAATTTTCTTAACAATTGAAAATGAAACTTGTCGTATACAATTGTGCCCGTTACTTTTTGTAGGAGATGTAGTCAATAAATACTCTCAAACTAACAATGCCGCAAAAGATTCCCATAGAAAGTTATAAACAGTATTAATCTCTAATATCCATCTGTTGTTGATGATTTACTCCGATATGGTGGCATGGTAACTATTAAAATGTGTTTACAACAGGTGTCTCGTCTTCCTGATGAGTTAACGATATTACACCATCGTAAAATACTTAAATGTAACTTAATACGCAAAAAAATAACGAAACGAAACCAGTATAACACCGTTCCGTTAAATAAACTTGACTGACAAAAAATATATATTTAAACAACATACACAATTTAAATGATAATCATTGTTCGTTAGTTACCTAATATGATTTTTTCATTTGTTTCTGTATTAAATAGTTAACAATTCGATGTTAAACAGTCGTGTGCCTTAAGGATTAATTAATTCATCATTTCACTGCGTGGGTGGCGTAGTGGTTTGAGCGGTCACCTCGCCGCTTCCTACTGCGCTGAAGGTTGCGGGTTCGATCCCCACTTCGACACTTTGAGTGATCCACAAGTTGTAGTTTTGAGTCTAGATGTTCTTTGGGTCCATTTCGTGTGTGTTTGTGGGGTCCCCAGCGACACAGGATACATTGTTGTATATATTGTTGTCTTTTAAGGAAAAAAACATCATTATCATCTCCCTACCATTCACAAATTTATTTGTGGTCTGTGCAATGAGTTTTCTTCTTCCATTCTCCTTGATCACTCGACACGAAATCTTTCTTTTCTTTCATGGCTGGTTGGCTGCCTGACGCCTCCTTTTGGATGTAATCCTTAGGGATTTATTAACTATTATAGTTAGAAATATGTAAAAGTTAAATTACTGGCCATTGAAAACTTTGAGTTGAGTCACGGTTAGTACGAGTACTATTGAGTTGAGTTGAGTACTGTTGGTAGTCACCAATATTGCTTTATCACAAGAATAATAAAATATAGTATATGGTAATTTTTGAGATATTGGTGCTAATTCTGTTGTTCGTAAACTCTCTAAACTAAACTAAAAATCACTAAAATTTAGTTTAGTCCTGTCAAACAACGTTTCGTATTCTGACAACGTAGAACTTAACTATATTTAGTTTGACACAACCAAAATTAGTTAAGTTACTCAACTTAGTCCTTTTTTGCTCATTTGTTATTCTGTTGTACTTTCTAAACGTCAAAAATTGACTAAAATTAAAAACGTCACACTAAAATTAGACGCTAGCTAAATACATCCCGACTAACCTAATAATTAGAGTTTTTAAGTATAAAATTTAAAATTTTAGCGAATTAATTGTTTAAAATGATAAGTGATTACGTGATTATGGTTTTGGTCAGTTCAGCGGAAAGGTATGTGCATAATATTATTCATCATAAATCACAAATAATTATGAGCCTTATCTGAATTATTAAAACAAACATACTTATGTATTATTTTTAGAAACTATCAAGAACGAATACGCTTAGAACGTATGCGAGATAACTCCAATCCGTTTGACTTGGCAGAGGAAAAATTTCAGAAACTATTCAGGCTTCCTAGATCTGCTGCTTTTCAATTAGTCAGCGATCTCGATGATCAACGCCTGGATGAAGGCTTCATACCTAAACACCTAAAGGTCTGCTTTATTACATTGAGCACAATATAAATCCACTGTTTCTATCTTGTACCTACTCTTCATATTGAACTCATTTTTCAGGTTTTATCTGCACTTCAATTTTTTGCTCAAGGGAGTTACCAAGCTGCTGTAGGGCAAGACAATTTCATTGCACTTAGCCAACCTTCTGTTAGCAGGTGCATTAAAATAACAGCAGATTTAATAGTGGAGAAGCTTTTACCTAATTGTATAAAATTTCCCATGACTGAGAGTGAAAAACTGATTGCAATGACAGAGTAAGTTAACAGCCATATATTATTGTTTTGGTGATAATCATCAATTTCTACATCTTAAGTATCATAAGATCTATGAAATACTTATAGTGTTCACCTTTTCAGATTTCAAGAGCTGTTTAATATGCCTAACACCTTAGGTGCAGTAGATGGGACACATATTTCAATAGCAAAGCCATCTATTAATCACCCTACTGCACCTGGAAATCTTTTCTATAATAGAAAAGGATTCTACAGTATTAACTGTCAGATTGTGAGTATCATACTCCATCCATACTCTATTATTATACTAAATATACATACATACTCTTTATAACTTCCAACAGCATTCACAAAATGTTTATTATTTTCTAATGCAAAGATTATAAAACAACATTAATTTCATTTATTTAATTTAGTCATTTTAGATTTTTAAAAAACCCATACAAATGTATATGAATCAGGACAAAGAGTTTTAATTTGAGTTAGGTTTTGCATATTTAACATTAATTTACTTATATTATTTTGTGTAGATTTTAAATACTAATTGTCTTTTAGGTGTGTAGTGCAAAAGGGAAAATTATTGGGCTCAATCCAAATTTTCCTGGCTCAACACATGATGCTGCTATCTGGAGAGCATCAACTATAAATCATTTTTTAAAAAGTAATTTTTTGTCTGGAGAGAGAAACCAATGGCTTTTAGGTAATAAGTTTGTACTCATTTATTGATTGTTTTATTTATTTGTTGGCAGTATATAATATATTTACTTATAACAGGTGACAAAGGATACCCCCTGCAACCATGGCTTATGACACCACTAATGGCACCAACAACGGAGGCAGAAAGGGCATACAACAACTGTCACGCAAGAGCAAGAAATGTTGTGGAAATGTGCAATGGAAGGCTCAAAAATAAATTTCGATGTTTACATCGTCATCGTTGCTTGCATTATAAACCAGAAAGAGCTGCAAAAATAATTCTGGCATGCTGCACACTCTACAACCGGTTTATAGATGCATTAAATGGTAAAATGAACTTATAAATTATTCTTTGCACATACATACATTTCCTTTCTACATTTGTATTTCCAAGCCTCTCTCCAATTGAGGTAGGCAGAGATCACAGCTCGCCACTCGCTATGATCCTGGCATACATCTTTCACCCCTTTCAGTTTCATAAATGTTTTCATACATATGCGCTAATTGTGGATACTATTGATCTGGCCCTTTTTCAAAATCCTTCAATTTGATCACATCTGACTCAAAACTTACCAGTTTGCTCTTGCCTCAAATCTATTTTGTCAATATTCTTACCTCTCTCTAACAAACCATATAAGTATCCCTTTCTTTACCTTGATCACTACATCTTTTATATATCCATACCGCAACATTCCCTTATAAAGGTATTCAAGTGTCACTCTAGCTATACTTCACAGACTTCTCATTTCCACAGCATTCAGTTAAATATCATACTTCTGTCTACCCCAATATTTATATACACACATATATATACATGTCTGTACTTAACACATTTTACTGTTCTGTTCTTCATTTCCAGATGATAATCATTATGATGTGGAAATACAAGATGTAAATATTGTGGTTGAGGAAGAAAACCAAGATTTTTTGATAGAGGCAAGACAGATTCGGGAAGAATTAATACAAACTCATTTTAATTATTAGTTTTATTATATTGTTTAATTAAAGCTCTGTTTTTTATTATTTATATAATCAACAATCATCATAAAAATCACTTAAACAAATAATAATTTAAAATAACATGTAAAAAAATCAACAAAATAAAAACAAAGGGACAAATAAAATAAAATGGATTAGACAAAGTTATCAAACGAGCTATTCTTGCAGAAAGTAGTAGCAGTTTACGAAAAATACAACCATAGCAATAACATAAACCAATAATAAAGTTGATACTTTACTATTGGTTAATATTGTTGCTATGACTTGAATTATGTGTTGAAGTAATTGCTGATGCTAAGATCTCAGCAGCACGCAATGTAGAAGCACTGCTGTCTCTCAAAGCAGCAGCAATCACTTCAGCACTATGTCTAATGGTTTCTTGTAAACTGTTACTGCTTTCTTGCAAAGAACGTAACAGGTTGTCGTAGGCAGGAGGACGTGAAGGCCTAGGCGTAATGCGGCGTCTTGGCACAATCCGACGACGAATTGGGCCGGGTACTGCCGAGACACCGGATATAGGCTGCGGTTGCTCCTGTTCCTCCTGGGGCTCCTGCGGAGACTGCACAGAGGGCAGCAATACTGGTGCAGGTGGCGAGACGCGCGCAAAAGAAGGTGTTATTCCCTAGAATTAAAATAATAACAATGAATTTATTCAGTAAGAAGTCTGTATGTGTGTATGTGGCTTAACACCTGTATCATGGCAACAGTGCTCTTCCAGCATAATAACTTACACCCAGACACCAAACAAATGACCGTGCTCATCACATTAAATTTTTTCTGGGTGGGAATCGAATCCACAACCTCAAGCTTAACAGTCAGGGCACTAACCACTAGACCAACAGTGTATGTGAGTTCCTCTAAAGGTCTTGTAATAAAATAAGTATGTATTGTGTTTCGCTATACAGCATTAGGTGATAGTATGTTTTAAGATTAAACAATATTTTACCACTTCAAGACTGGCAAATCCTTGAATGGAGGCAATCCCAACTACATCTAAAATTTTTTTCTCAATATCTGAGAGCTCAGATATAGCTGGTCCTCCTCCTGTTGCCCTTATGGAGTCATTAATTTTGCGCGCCTTAGTCTTAACTTTGGCCACCCATACACTCCAAACCTAAACAAAAATAATTAAACAGGCATAAGTAAAGACGATATAAATAAATAATAAGTTGCTATGGTATACATTTCCCAGCACAAAACCAGTAAGTAGCAGAATGATAAAATTAGTAGTTTGTAAGGGTGAGAGATGCTTTCTATGCAAATTCTTTGACCGCTGGTGACTGCTTTAACTACTACAGTATAAATTCTATTGAATGTTACTGAGATTGAAGGTTTTTACATTAGGTATCACTGGCTTCGTAAGTTAAATATACGTCAGACGATCTTCACGACTTTAGTATTACAAGAAAGTACAAAACAAAAGATACCGTTTGAATGAGTAAAAACACGGGTCTTCTATAAGATACTTACATGCTGCCACTGCTGTACAGTTCTATTACAGCCCAAACTGTTAAGCTCGTTTGATAAATTGGTCTAAAATTCCATATTACTTGGATCTGCCTGATTGCCTAAAAAAACAACATTAATGTGATGAAAATACAGCTAAAATTAACATAGTAAAAATGATATTCCTTAGAAACTGAAACACTGAATAATTCTCACCTCTCGCCACTTCTAGGTTGTTATGGAGGCGCTCAACCAGCAGCTCCTGCTGCCTCTTGTTGGCCCTCTTTTTCCTATCGTCCATTACTATTAAATAAAATATATATAATAAAAAAATATATTCTAATTACAATAAAACTATACTGTCATGTCAAATTGACCTGCACAGATTCAGAAATCATAACTTTCGTACATAGGTAACAAAAAAGGTTTACCACGGGTTGCCAGTTATGTGAACTAAGTAAAACTGTATTTACTTCGTTATAACTGTAAAATACAACATTTTGTTTACTATTTGATCTATAATATGCATTAATAATCATTTACAGGCATTCTAAAATCCTAAAAATATCGTTTCAAAAGATTTATGAATTCACTCTAAATCTTTCTCTATATCATTCATTCCTAATTTTTAAACAAAGGTAACATTTCCATTTTAATTTTTAGTGATGTCAGATTCAAATTTAATGCTGTCAAAATGAACACCAAATTTAGTTCGACCTAACAACAGAATAGCATTTTGAACATCGCTTGACTAAAATAAGAGAATTTTAGAGAATTTTTAGTTTAGTGATGTCAACAACAGAATTAGCACCAATGTGACTTAAATTTGATTATAAATTCACTAAAATTTAGATTGTTTAGACTCGATTTGGGTAATGTACATAACTTCAAAATTGATCTTGTGATGTAGGGTATCGCAGTTAAAGCGTCACAATAATTGTCACCTACTTTTGATGTGTCTATTGACTTTTCAAGTGAGAGAAGAGAGGTCAAACAGATAACTCTAGTTAGATACATAATATTTTGTAAATATATTATAAAGGATCTAGAACAATTGGCTCTGAAGGAATCAAAATGATACCTCGAAATTGCAGTTGAATGCTTTCGACACAAAATATCATAGATTTTATTAAAATGCTTTTTTTTCGTCATATAGACACCATTACCAGTAAGGCATTTAGAAATCTAGGCTTCGTTATGCGTACGTGCGCTAAATTTAGGAATATCAACTGCCTTAAAACTGTATGTCCGTGTGGTGACGGATTAAGAATACAGAGTGTCAGCACCCCTATTCATCCCGTGGGTGTCGTAAGAGACGACTAAGGGAAAAAATTACGCAGAACAACAGCACTGCAGAGAGAAGGAAAACTTGACACAAACCCTATACCAACCCGTCTGGCCAGCGTGGTATAGTAGGCCAAAACCTCCTTTCCAAGGAGAGGCTTATGTCCAGCAGTGGACTATTAAAGGCTGTTGATGATGATGATGATGAAAACTGTTTACCGCGCATACTTGCAAATTGTACTTGACTATGGCAGTCCTGTTTGGTGTCCCCAAAATGATACATACACAGATAAAATTGAGAGAATTCAAAAACGTTTCGTGAGACATCTAAGTTTTAAAACAAGGAGATGACATTTATCATATCTTGACGACTGCAAGCACTATGATCTACTGCCTTTATCTAGTAGGCGTGTGTTACTAGACATGAGCTTTTTGTTCGCTATCATTCGAGGTGAAATTGATAGTATCGAACCTCTTTCTAATATTAGCTTGAATGCACCCGGGGCTCGTACTAGACATACGCGCTTGTTCAGTATTCATCTGCACCGCACCAATTATGCTAAGAATTCTGTTCTCACTCGTTTGCCTAGCTGTTACAATATTAATTTTGACGTGATTGTCATCTTCCACCTCTCAAAAAGTGCCTTTAAAAGACAAATAACTAAAAAGTTGCATTCATACTTGTGAATCCAAATTAAGATTGTTTTTGTAAGTTACTTTCTTTTGGAATACTTCTCACTCTGCACAATATACCTAATATAACTAAATTATAGATAGTATATAATATGTACAATTGACCATGTTTAAGTGGTGCACGCAATTTTATTTTACTTGTCGCGAAACTTTATTATTGGCTAAGAGTCTAAATAAATGTTTAACTTCACCCATGATATATGTAACATAGCTGTTAAGTTTCCAAATAAATAAATAAATTACAAATAATTGTACCTACATATAACCTTAACGTAATGTCTAGTGTCTCAATATAAGGAAATACATGTCCTACTCTCTTTTCGGAAACATGGCGTCGAAAAATTATGGCAATTACGTGAGCTATGTACGTCAGTATTACTAGTTATTTATCTTTCAGTACTTAAGCTTATGAATATTTATATGATATAAACGTTTTCACGTGCATTGTTACACGATAATTTACGCTAAATCAATTCTTGTGATGTTTACGCCGCCGTACTAATGTTATTGTCACGGTGTTTTGTGTAAATTGTGTTTTGACAGTTTTGTAAGTGTCACATTGAATGATATAACTAAACAGACAGTGTAATATGACGTAAGATTCTTATTTGAATAGTTGTTTTACCTAAGTTACAAAATCTTTGTCATTCTTTTTTTTATCAGAGTGTTATATATATGTATGCATACTAGGTACTAGGTAGGTACGATTTTTGAATAAAAGACCTTAAAGTATGTATTGAAGTGATAATACTGATAATTAAGGGAGGCGAAAACGTTAGTTAAATCTATTTCCCTACTTTCGTTACTTTAAGCATTGAATGGAAATGCAATTCCTGACAGTTAATTTCTAGAAGATTCCATTTTCAGATATACGGTAAGGACTTTTTAATTTCTGTGCATCTACCATGATTAGCTCTGCAGCGCCCAAAGATTGACTGGGAGAAAATACCTACGGCATTAACCACCTTTGTCACGTTTGTTCGTGTATATTGTAATTAAGTAGTCATTTCCTATCACGATGTGACGCAGAACATTGACTTTAGAACTAATATCTAGTTTAAAGAAAATCTTCTGGCACAATTTCTTTAAAAACTGATAAACAGAAATATTTGAAGAAAAAAATCGCTTGGGATTTAATAAATGAACTAAATTCTCGTTATTTTTACAAAATGCAATTTCTTCTTGATGTTTCGTCTGGTGTGTTGCAAAATGAAAATTTAAAATATATCTATTTCTGTTTATTTTCATTAATGATTTTTTGACTACTGTTTTTGAAATGATGTATGAATCCGTACACCTTCCAATTGTTTACTCTTTACTTGAACAATCGTACAACAAATTGAGTGATTAATCAACCAACCTGTGGCAAAACTTCTTAGCACTACAGTTCTGCGGTCGAACGTACGAGTATTCACCACTGTCATAAATACCTAATCTAAGAGAATTATTTTTGATAAGCGCATTTTGATGATGTGAACGAATATTGAAAATAAATCGAGTTTTGTGGTATGATGTAACTTTTCATATACTGAGGGGATGACCATGTAATCCTATATATTATT